GAGCTGAGGACGCCTGCCCTGGCCTGAGTCTCCCACACCTGGCTGTGTAGGGCTGGCTGTGGGTGCGGGGTGGGCCTTCTCCCTCACCCCTCCTCTGTGAGCCCAGACCGGAGCGTGCAAAGGCCCGACTGTGCCTCTCCGTTTCCTGGGCACAAACCTCCGGCCCCGGCAGTGGCACCTCTACCACCTGCACAACCATGGCTGGGCCAAGTCCCGTCGAGGTCTCTACTCCAGAGACAGCTTCAACCATATGAAAACATGCACCAGGCCAGTCATGTGAATGTGACCTGATTGGAAAATTTCACAACTTAAATGTCTCTTCATAGGAAGATGGTTTAGAAAGCAAAAAAGAAAAGAAAAAACAAAAACTATATAGTGGCATTCTGTGTAGTTCTATTAATAAAATGAGCACAGACGCTTTCTTTGTACCAGTAAAGAGTGGTTTCCAGGATGTACTGTGAGGCGAAAGAAAATCAAACGACCAGAGTGTGTGTTGTAGGCCGCCTTCATGCAGGAGGGGAGGCAAAAATGTGCATGTGTCTCTTCCCCATCTCATTGTGTAAATAGAAAGGAAATATATATATTTTTAAATGAGATGGTTTGCCCAGAGGAAGAGACGAGTGAGGTGAAGAGAAAGGGAGAAACGGAAAGGGGCAGTGGGGATGAGGGAAGACGATTCTCTGACTCCAGCCTCAGAAGCACAGTGCTGGTTTGAGGTGTCAGCTTGGCCAGGATCCAGGACCTGTTCTTCGGTCCAACACAGCTCCAGGGGGGCTGTGGGGGGATTCTGGAGACTCGGTTACCACCTACAATCAGCTAAGGAGAGGAGACTCTCATGAAGTGGGTAGGCCTCATTGGTCTCAGCCTTAAGAGGCCAGACCATGCAGTGGTAAAATACAATGCTCTGAGGGAACCCCACGTGGGAGGGTTCCCGGTTCAAGTCTGAAGTCCTCCTGAACATGCTGGGCACGCATGTGGCCGCGGTGGGGCTGGCTGAAGGCTGCGGTGGACTGGCATCATGACCCTGTTGGGGGTGCTGTCTCTCTCCTTGCTCACAGAAGTAATAAATAAGTAAACTAACTAACTAAATAAATAAATAAAGGAATAATCTTAAAAAGAACTTTTGCCTCTGCCTCAAGACAGCTGCATCAGCTCCCAGCGAGTGCACAGCCTGCCAGCCCACCCTACAGACTCTGGGTCTGCCAGACCCGAGCTTGTGAGCCAACTCCTTGAGCTAACCATTCTGGTGTGTACACATGGTCATCTCTCGGAGTCCATGGGGGATTCGTTCAGGACCTCCATGGACCTCAATGGATGTTCAAGACCCTTATGTGAAATGGTGTAATATCTGTATATAATCTAAGCATGTCTTCCGGGTCCTTAAAATCACCTCTGGATCACTACAATACTTAATACTGGGGAACTTCCAAAAGTTCATGAAAAAACAGAACTAAAGTGAGTTATTTTCATGCAAAACATTTTTTAAAAATTAAAATTCAGGGACCAGGAGATGGTGTCATGGTTGCGTCGGTGGACTCCCATGTAGCTGACCACAGTTTGAGTCCCAGAGGCTTAAAATTCATGCCAAGCTCATATGTGTGTATACCCAAGATCCCGAGAGGACAATGAAAATGGAGGAGAAGGGATTGTGGTGTGGCCATCCCCCGTGGGGGTGACATCTTGCTTTCAGTCTCTCTGTCTCCAGTGAGCACATGTGTCACATATATACACATGTGTGTGTGTGTGTGTACACACACTGCTACTAGGGCACATGTGCTTGCTGGAGAGAGACAGAGACAGAAAGTGAGAAATCACCCCCCAGGGGGGATGGCCACGCTGCAATCCCTTCTCCCCTTGGGATTCTGGGCATGCACATACGCAGGCCCGGCATGTTTCTGAAGCCACCGGGTCTGGGACTTGAAGTGCATAGTCAGCCATGTGGGATCCAGCTGCTCCAACCACCACACCACCACCTAGCCTCATGCAAAAAAGAAATTTTTTAATTCATGCATAGTCATTTCATAGTTTGCATTGCTATTATTATTATTATTTTTAATACAGGGCATGTACACTTGCCAGAGAGAGAGAGAGTGAACGACCACCCCCGGGGGATGGCCACATTGTAATCCCTTCCCCTCCCTCTCCTGCTGGGATTTTGGGCATGTACCCATGTGCTCCTGGTGTGATTCCCAAGCCGCCCGATCTGGAGCTCGAACTGCAGTGGGCCATGTGGGAGTCCAACACCTTAACCACGGTGCCGCCTGCTGTATGATACGATGCCACGCAAATAGCTGCTGCCCTGCGTTGTTTGGGGAGTAAGGACAAGGAAAGCCGTCTGTGCATGCTCAGCACAGACCAGCCATCAGGGCTAACCCCATTTCACACGGCAGCACCATGGGAACGTTTTCCACCCGAGTCGGCGGCATGGGAGGGTGCAGAACTGCAGAAACAGACTACATATACTCTGGTTTCTTTTTCTTTAGGTTTTGTTTTGTTTTTGCCATAAGGTGTATGCACCTGCTGGAAGAGACAGACAGAGAAATCGCACTCTGGGGTTTGGCCACACTGTAATCCCTTCTCCTTCGGTCTCCTCTTGGGGTTTTGGCTGTGTGTGCACATGCTCCTGGCCTAATTTTCAAGTTCCTGGGTCTGGGATTCAAACCGTGGTCAGCCAGGTGAGACTCCAGCATCTTAAACCACGATGCCAGCAGGTCCACTCTGGTTTCTAAACACCGTCCTCGGATAGAAGGAACCAGGGCTCCTTGGAGAAATGGCTGATCTCAGGGCTGGGGAAGAACATGGACAAGGTCAACCGGGAACATCTCGTGGTACCAGAAGTAAGGAGGCGCTCACGAAGAACGAGGACGCTGGAGTCGATGCGAAGGCACACCAGTGGCCCACGCTGGAGTTCAGGACCCTCGAGAGCACAGTGGACCCACCCCTACCTGGGCACCACAGGGCCCCTGCCCCCGTGGCTGCAGACCCGGTGCCCGACCTGCTGAGATGCTGTTGAGATGCAGACTCTGCTTCTCAGTTGCCATGTTTCTTGATTTTCTTTTTAAATAAGATCCATTTCCTCGCCTGCACCCCCCGCGACCAGTGACCAGCGCAGCTCTAACCATGGCACCCCTCTGTGCTGAGCGCTGGTTGCTCTGCCCCCTCGGCATGCCGGACCAGCTGTGTGGCTTCCATTTCCAGCAGGCACTGCGCTGCCGCCTTGGCGCCCTGTGCTCCTCGAGGCTCGGGTTGGAACCAATCTGCACAAATGGGTACTGAACACGCAGGGGCCGGAAGAATGCCTTCCCCAGGGCCCTGCTGCGTCTCCCCTGGATCACGGTAAAATGCAACCTTTCATTTAAATCGAAACCACTCAGCCAGGCAGAGGCCAATGAGCCTGCAGGACGGGCTGTTCTGATGTCGGGCACCGCCCTCCCCGCCTTGAGCTCCCATTCTTGACTCACTGTCAGCTTAGAAAATGAGACCCTGAAGTCTCAAAGGCCTCGAGTGGGCAGATTAAGAAGTCAGCAAAGAAACCCCATGAAGATGCTGCTGGTCCCTAAAACTCCTACAGGGGCTGGTCTGAAGGGGGCTCCCGTCAGGGGCCACGGGTCCCTAAGCCACAGAGCCTCGGCTCTGGCCTTTTTACCTTGGATGGCAACAACTCTCCACCCAAACTGGAGCAGAGGGTGGGAGTCTATTGCTGTTGTTTACATTTTTTATTATTTAAAAAATCTGCCAGAGGGCACCTGTACTTGCCAGAGGGAGACAAAATGCCCCCAAGGAGGTGTGGTCACACCACAATCTCTTCTCATGCATTTCTTCATCCTGTCGGGGTTGGCGCATGGACACACATGCACCTGGTGTGTTTTTCAAGCCAGAGGAGCTGGATTTGAACCACATCATTGGCCATGTGGGATCTGGTTCCCCTAGCCACCAGGCCGGGGCGGCCCTGTTGATCGTTTTTAAAGCCCAGTTCTACACACTGGCATACAGTCACGGCTTCCTAATTTTGAAGTTTTGGGCCCCCAAGGAGGAGATTCACTTCGACGACTGCACAGTGAGCACAGACTCTGCCGGCATGATGGAGCTGCTGGGGGTGAGCAGGAGGGCTCTCCTCTCGGACCGCACGTGGCTGCTGGAAGGGACAGATGGGGGACACTGCCCCCAAGTCAGCCACAGAGAAGGGGGCACAGCCTTGGCTGGGTGTAGCCTGCAGGTAGGCAGAGGCAGGCCTGGCTCCGGGGCAGTCGCGGCCCTGCCTCAGCAGTGCCGTGTTCAGACTTGGCGGTGGGTGCTCAGCTGGCCTCGCTGTAGCTTGCACCCTGGGGGAGGAGCTAGGAGCTCACAGGAGGGGTCTTCACGCGCCCCTAGCGCCTCATGCTGAAGCAGAAGCAAAGACTGGAAGTTCAGTCACTAGCATGCCAAGTGCCAGTCCCTGCTCCCGGAGGGGACCCCGGCCCCACTGGTGCACCCAGGGAGGGGGCGAGTGAGCCACAGGGCACGGGAAGAAGGGCCTCTGGGCAGGAGCACCAGGCCGTGTGGGTGAGGGCTTGGCAGGCCATCCCGGCGGGGGCTGGAGCCACCCCTCCAGTGACAGCCTGACTCCTCATGGCGGAGTCTCTGGGCCCAAAATAGGCAGGTGGATGGCCCTGGGCTGGTCACGGGGATGGCGGAGTGAGCCAGCAGGGAGGTCCCTGCAAGTCAGGCTCTGTCACAGGCTTGGCCACCCAGGCCCTGGCCATGAGACTGTGCTCAGGTGGCCTCCAGGCCCCTGTCCCTGGATGGGCCACAGGAATTTCCAGCCAGACATGGCCCAGCCTGGACCCCAACTCCTACTACCCCCGGCTCACCCCGCCCACCCCGCCCTCGAGCCAGCTGTGGACACGGCCTCCCAGCCGTCCTGGACACCCAGCACGCCTGTCCTCAGCCAGAGCCCTGGATGGTGAGAGGGCCCTCTGTGGCCTCCCCAGCCCCTCGCCCATCCTCAGGGACACACTCACCCAATGGTCTTGGCCCAGTCACACCACAGCGGCTCCCCGACGGCCTCCATGTCTGACTCGAACCGGGCCAGGCAGTGCTCCTGGGCGAGGGTACCGAAGTCAGCGTCCTGGCAGGCAGTGACCGCGAACAGGTGATGGGCTGCAACAGAGCCAGGGCTGTCACCGCGGCCTCCCCGGGTGGCCTGCCCAGCCCCCGT